TTTACCAAGAACAATTTAAGAAGTTGCTACACTATTAACCTTCCAAGGTGTAAATAGCTCAGGGCCAATCTCTCGTACCGTGAACTTAAGTCAGCTGTTTAGCTCTGCAAGGGGGGCCCTTCTGAAGATGCCCCTCTTGTCAGAGACCTGGAACACAGCAGAGGGCCTTCGCGTGCAGTGCTTCCTTGGGAGTTGCGTCTGACTCCCGCTCTCTTGGTGTTCAGAAAAAAAAAACATTTGTAAAGATGCATCTCTTTCTCCATGTTTTCATCTGTTAATTATATTCTATGAATAACAATTTAATATTTTAAGCTTTTAACATTTTATATTTTGTTTGAATTTTGTTAGCTCCTTTGAGTATTCACTAGAATAGATAGATAGACAGACAGACAGATCACATTCTCAATTATAACTGAATTAGAAACTACGGTTTAATCCCAATTTCCTAATCAGGATATGATGCTAATCAATTATTTTTGTTATGCTCCATCAAGTCAACTCTGATTCCTGACGGCTACAAGACCAAGTCCCTGCACTCTTCTTGGCAACATTTTTGGAAGTGGCTTGCCAGTACTTTCTTCCTAGGGCTGAGAGAGAGTCTGTGGGCTGTGTCTAAGGCAGGATTAGAACGCACAGTCTCACCGCTTCTAATCTAGCACTTTACCCACCAGACCAAGCTGCCTCTATAATCAGTATATAAGAGCAAATGAAAGGCACTTGTCACTAGTTCTGCAAACTAAGAAGCAAACAGCAGCTGTGGCTAAAAGAAACACTGCCTGACCAGCAGAAAAAGAGCTGCAAATCTGATCCCTTCAGGATGAGTGTGACTTGGTTAAAACAAGTTAAACCTCTATTCCTCGACTACTTACTATTATAATCCCCAAATCATCTTGTCTGGAACCAACATGGACCGCATCCAGCCTGTGACTCCTTCCCTACAACTGTCTGAGAACAGCAGCATGCTTATGGCGTCTCACTCTAGATCCTAGGCATGGCAGTCTCTAGGACACGTTCCACTAAGTGTAGTAGTATAGTTGGTGGTGAAGATAACTGGAAGGCAAACTGAACACAGACAGTGGTTCTACTCACAGCAGGCTGTGCCTATCTGGATTTTGCTCACACAAACTCAAGCAGGGTTGCTTATATGGCTGAGCATCTCTGCTTTGAATTTTCTAGGTATCCACAGTATTCTTATTATTGTACTCAGTGCTGGACTGATTTTCTAGTCTTAAAGCTTTTATACAAAGTAGTAGTTGTATAAATACTTTTGGTGAATGATAATTAAATCTTCTCCCCTTCTTAGCAAAGTAAGCAACGTTAAAACAAAGTTCATAGTGGTGGTTTTGTAACTATAGTCTAAGTAATATTTGTTCCTTGGGCATAGCATTCCTGAGGAAGAAAATATTCACTGAACATTTCTGGCACTTTTCTGATCTCAAATGTAAATTAGATGTAGGGAGAGATTTAGGACTATGGAATCAAAATACTGAGGGCAATCTTGAGATATTTAAAGTAATCAGGGAGGCATGCAAGAGAGATTCTTGTAATAATGATTACTTCAATTCCCTCACACAGACTGGGTACATTCATGTTCAGGTCATGAAAAAAAACCCACATTTCTATATATCCTAAATTATTGTGGTTTAGAATAACTGACTTCAGAACTGACCAAGCAGAGGCAACCCTAGGCTTAATCCTCAGTAGTGACCATGATCTGCTGCAAGATATAACTGTTGTAGAAATAACAGGAAACAGTAACCATAATGCTATTATATTTAGCATACAAACAAATGGGAAACTCCCAGCAGGTTCCAACAGAGTTACATTTGACTATAAAAGCGGAAACCTCTCAAAAATGAGACCAAAAGAAAAAGTTAAGAGAGCTAAATTAAATTCTAAAGAAATTAGAAAACTAGAAAGTCTTCCACAGTATAAGAATATGTCAGCCAAATCCAGGCCAGTCTTTCTAGGAGTATAAAGGAAGCTATGAAAGTTTAGGAGACTTCCTTCAGGAAATGGAGAAGAAACTGTTAGCCAGTTCGCATGGCTTCTGGAATTCTTTCCAACCTCTTTACCAGCAGTGGCCATAGTAGGTGTCTATAATTTATTCTGTGTTACAAACCATGTCGCACGTGTGTGTGAATGTGTGTGTTTCTGCTGTCCCTTGGGTTGAATCTCTGCATATTTCTGTATGTGTTTGCACTGGGATGGGCTGCAGAGTTTCAGATCTGGTTTACAGGACCAGGAGGAAGCAGCTACCCAATTCCCCAACAGTGAGATTTTTTTTGGGAATGTATTTCTCCACAGCTCTAGCTGGATCCAGCCCATTTTCAAGTGATTTTTTTTCTTCTGCTGTATTCTCTCACCATAGCACAGTTGAACCCATTCCATTCATCTTTTGGAAAGTTGTACTGCAGACAGGTGGATGGACAGGCAACCTCAAATCTTTACATGACTTTGTCTAATATTCCATTGGCTTGAATGAATAAAATGGAGCACATGCTCTGGCAGAAAATATGCAAGGAGATAAGGAGAAAGAATTGGAGGAACAGGAAGCATTTGAGAGGCATATTACAAAAAAGGGAAGGGGGGCAAATAAGATCATCTTTGTATATATTTGAAGCAAAAAAGAAACCAGGAAGGCAGTTGGACATTAAATGATAAAGGAAGGAAATGCATCCTCAGGGAGGACATGATAATTACAGCGAAGCTGAATGAATTCTTTGTCTCTGTATTTACAGATGCATGTACAGAAGCCCCTAAACTTTGGCAAGAAAGAGCACAGCCCAAACTGGCAAATTCAACAAGCTGCAATTTTTTCTAATAACATGCACATTCTAAAAGAAATGAGTGTGCCTTCCAAGTGGACAAATGTAAGAAGCAAGTAAGCACAGAGGTTAAAAGGCAGATACCTGAGTCCGGACTGACCTTTTTCCAGGAGAAAGCAACCCAATAACTGAACTGTGGTCACGAGACTACACTGTATCAAATCACTGGATAATGAGGAGAGTTATTTAAAAACTCAAATGTAAAACTGCTGATCTCCTAGCAATTATATGTAAAGTATCACAAATATCAGATTAAGGAACATCTTGCAGATTATAGGCCAATCAGTTTAACATCTGTTTCAGGCAAATGGGTAGAAATGTTTTAAAAATGAACAACCCATGAATATGGAAGGACAAGCCTTGTTGAAGAATTGACAAAGGTAAATCCTGCTTCATCGACCTGTTAAGAGTTTTCAACAGGCATGTGGATGGAGGTGACCTGTCAACACTGTATACTGTACTTGAATTTTCAGAAGGCTTTTCACAAAATTTCTTGTCAAGGGTTCTTGCCCTTTTTTGGTTCATTAACTGGTTTTAGAAGAGAAAAAAAATACACTGAAATGGACACTTTTCTAAACAGAGGGTAATAAGTTGAGTCTCTCACAGATTTGAATTTTTAACTTATAACAGTTTTTGATTCAGGGTGAACTGTCTAAATTTGTGGGTGATACTAAACCATTCAGAATGGCAAAAAGCAAGAGTGACTGTAAAGAGCTCCAGAAGGATTGCATTAAACTGGGGGAATGGCTGGCTAAATGGCAAATGCAATTTAATTTACATAATTGTAAAATGAAGCATATTGGGGCAAAAATTCCTAAGTTCACCTACACATGGATGGAGTCTGAACTTTCTATACTTCACCAAGAAAAACATCTATAGCATGCACTGCATGTGTGTACAGTTCTATCGCCACATTTAAAAACGATATAATGAAGCTGGAAAAGGTGAAAAGGAATGCTATTAAAATGATCAGGGGACCCTTAACACCTTCTCTTCAATAAAAGGACAGAATGTTTGTGACTCGACTTGGAAAAAGATGACTGAAGGGGGATGTTATTGAGGTTTATAGTCAATTACATGGAAAAAATGGACAGGGAGAAGTTATTTTCCTCTTTCAATACACTAGGACCACAGGCCATTCAATAAAGTTAATTGGAAGATTTAAAACAGAGGAACAGACACACTTCTTTGTGCACCACATAATTAACTCTGGGAAATTCATGTCCACAAGATGTGGGGATGACCACTATCTTGGATGGCTTTAAAAGGGGACAGAGGAGTTCTTGAAGGAGAGGTCCTTCAAGGGCTGTTGGTTCTGAAGAGTCCGTGTTGCCTTCATGGGGGAACAGCATGACTCCACAGACCAGTTGCAGAGGAACAATGGTGAGACAGGAATATCTCTCTGGTTCTTCCTTGTGAGCACCACAGAGGCATCTGATTGGCAGTATGAGAAACAAAAGGCTGGGCTAAAATGGGCTTAGCCTGATCCTTAGCTATTCTTATGTTGTTATATTCTAGGGAAAATGTGTTTGCCAGCACCAATGTTCTCCACAACATACAACTTAAAGAATGTATTATAAGACATCCACCCAATTCAAGAACCAGGCCAAAGTATTTGGCTATCATTTTTCATCCATTTGAGGAGCAGTGCACAAAGATTTGGGGGACAATTATTTGGGGGTGCCAATTTGCCCATTCTCTGGTAAATGAAGAATTCTGCTAGGCTGCCAGTTTCAGTTTGTTTCTGTGACAGCAAGAGATTTTGATTTAGTAACCAAAGAAAGGACTACCTTTCTACTGTCTCCTGTTATAATGATAACTTCATTGTCACTAAACAAATTAACAGAATTCAACTATAGATACAAGAAAACATTGTAGATATCCCGACATTCCGGGAGTTATCTGGCCCACCACTACTCAATTTTTGCAAAGTTACAAGAACATAGTGTCCTGCAGTATGCCAAATTTCAGTATCGCATGCTTAGAGGTTTCTTAGGATACCAAGCTGCCGTGGAAAATATCCCCCCAAAGGGAAAGAGTAGAAATAAACCATTTTATATTATTGCTTTTAAAGTCACATTACTGAAGAGCTACTTATACAGATCTTCCAATGCAAAGGAAAAAAAATGTTCCCAGAACTGTCAATTGTTATGTGCCTTTTCACTGACTTACTATGACATCTTCAGCAGTTCATTAGTTTCAGGCTTCCATATACCTCTCACCAACTGTTCAAAGTTGGATATTAGACCGCCACCAGCTCCTGTAATTCAATACAAATTATTACATGCTTAAATTGGTTCAAAAGATCTTAGACACTCAACCCCACTTCTAGTTAGGACAACTGCAAATCCATCACATTACTTTCACAGGCACAAGATAGGGCCCTAAGTTATAGGTAGAAATGAAATGACCTATTTTACAGTTATTGAAATTGGATCCTCAAATTGAGACTCTATAGAAAGTATCCTATTCTGAGACGGAAAGGTTTAATCTTTGTTTAAAAAAATGGAAGCAGCAGCTTCACTCTGAAGTTTAGAATCCATAATGGCTTCATACTGTAAGAAATCAGTAAAAGAAGAAGACAGGGCTATATCTTACTGGGTACAGATAAGGAGGAGAACTAATTGCTTGTCACATGACAGCAATATGCACAAATTAAGAATTTGAAAAGAGGCTGCAGAAGGACTGACTTCTTCTCAACCCTGTAATAATCTAACAGGCAAGGCAGGTCAACAGATCATTTTATGTCATGGAGCCCAGTCCCAATGGACGACGACATCATCATCATCATCATCATCATCATCACCACCACCACCACCACCACCACCACCCCTTTCTTTCCCAGCTTTCATTTCCAGTGAAAGAAAAGAACTGCAACTTCACAGTACAAAAACATTCATCCAGCCCAATTCTGCACCCAATAACATATGAAGCTCCTCTGGGGTCAGCTCATCATGTGCACCAGCTCCATGACCAACTATCAGGCCAGCCTGTATCTTAGTCCTGCATGCCCCCATTTGGTTGGAGAATACAGTAATGAGTAGAAATTGCTTCAGACAGGAAGCTTTTGCAGATCTTTGGAGGGCTTTTCTCAGTTCCACTCAGTATGTCAGAAATGGCTAGATATAAAATGAATCTATTAATGAAGAACTTTGAATCTTTTGCGCCTGGATTGTTGTAAAAAATATTGTTATGTGTTCTGGGAAAGATAGTTGTATACTTGACACCAAAGGCTGGCTTGATAAAATGAGTACATTCTCAGACTCTGAATTTGCTCTTCATTGATGCAATGGAAAAACTGGACAGTTTGATTCTGTACAGTCAAGGTTTCATTTGTTGCTGAAAAACTTAGTTGTATTATATATGTGGGGGGGTGTATGTGTGTGTCTGTATACACACACAAATGTTATATCTTATTTTAATCATATCTTCATTTATACATTACATTTGCTTTTTTGTTCCAATTGTTTTAAAACAATAAAAAATACTTTTTTAAAAAAAGAAAAGAGTTTAACACAGGTAATATGCTCATATACAAGTTAATTTTACACACATTTACTAGGCAGAACTTTCAGCTGAACATTCAACACGTAGAAATACCAGGCTTGATTTTTATTTTAAGTGCAAAGGCATAATAACAGATATGTGAAAACCCTTTCGGCTTTAAGTTCTTCAGTTATATCTATTTATTTATTTATATTCAAATATAAATTTGAATTAAAACATATACAAAAAAGTTAAGAGAAAATTAAGGAAAGGGATTTAATCAGTTTAAAAGACATGGGGAAAATATACAACACTAACTGAAAGGAAAATAAGAGGACTCAGAGGGAAGCAAATAGAGATAGAGAAAACATGTTTTCCACAGGTCAGCAATGTTAGCCATCGCAGAAGATTTTATCAAAAGGCTATGAAGTAGTGCCATAAAACTAACATTGCATCCCTGGACATGTTGATGCTTCCTACGAAGGGAATTTATTTCCAATTAACAATTTTCAGAGGGCTGAGAAGCAGCCAAAAATAAATAACTCTAAACAGTTTTGTATGAAGTCAGCCTTTCTTCTCCAAATGGTCCCAGACACTCTCCATGAGAGCAAGGTAAGAACAGTTCAAAAATTAGTTTTAAAACAGAAAGGTTTCATGTATTACCTCTAGCCCAACCAACTGCTATCATGATTAGCCAGGCGTCTGCAAAGCGTCTATGCGCATGGACAATCCCGCCTGTTATCTTCCAGGTTCTTGTCACTTCCTTCATTCCTGCAATCATCAGTCGTATAGGTGGAAAACAGAAACAGCGGTAGGCTAGATCATGTGGGCAGTAAAATATAAGATACCTAAACAACCAGGAGGAAAAGATTCAGTCTTCTGAAGATACTCATAGCAAAACCATGCCAACTAAATGAAACACATTCTCAATTAAGAAATCTTCTTAAACATAAATGTTAAGAAATAACCAATAGTACAAGGCTGCAGGCTGCTTAAATATGTATAGTTGGACTTTCAATAAACTACAGTACATTTCAATATCTATTATTTTAGGATACCCAGCAAGTTAAGTATTCATTAAAATATTACTGCTCCTGATAGGCTTTTTAAAAATGTTGGCTTTATTTCTTATCGCATAGTAAGTTTCTGAATTTTATGTCAGGGGAAATTATCTAGTGGATACCTAGCCTTAAAGGTAGCCTTAATATATAATATGGATACCTTTTTCGAAAAATACTCTTCTTTAGTTACATCTATGACTCGAGAATGTAGAAAACGCGCACACACACACATCCTAGATGGTGACATATAACTGCAAGACCACATGACCCTTGCATGCAACTGTATATTCTTAAATCTAATGCTTTAGCCCAACATATATATATAAAGTATATAAAGCCCAACATATATATATAAAGTATATAAAGAACTATGCCAGACGCATCTCTAAGCCATATATGGAGCCTGGGACACAAAATTCAAGTACACATAAGACAAATGGAAAAGAATGTACAAATACAGGATCACAATTCAGTGGGGAGGGGAAAGGAACAGGGAGATAGGAATCCAGTATGGAAAACAAAATATAGGTCATTTCTATTTTTCAGGTGCTGCACTTCACAAAGTTTCTTGCTGTTTTATTGCTTACTAGTAAAAGTATTTTGTACTGGACTGTCAAAACGGTTTACAGAAAAACAAAAACAAAAAACAAAAACTGGAAAGTCATTCTAAAATAAACCAACAGAATGAAAACAGTATCAAAACAAAAGATAAAAACAGAGAGCAAATAGCCCGGTAAGTCTACCTAAGTGAAAAGCATACTAGTCTAATTCATGGTTGCTTCAGCTGGGAGAAGCTTCAAGGGATCAAGGGATGCTGCAAATGCTTTAGCTTTTCCCTCAGGGCAGAAAGGTTCAGTGCATTCAAAATGCATAGCAAAATGTTGCAATGCCAACTGCTGCCTTTCTGGAATTGAGCTGCGCTGACTTTCGTTCAGGTGACTTCATGCCATTTCCCCCTCTTCCAGGTGTGTAACTCTCCAACCTGCTCCACTAATATTTTGTAATCAATAAACTTGCTCAGTCCTTCTCTGCACCTCCCACCCTGGCCCCTGCCAATTCTTTATTTACACACACACACACACACCGTTTTGTTTTGCCCCATTTCAGAATCCATACTTCTGTAAATTCAGGCAACCAAAAGATCCTGGTACTTGGGCTTGCTAATAAGTCCCTCTTACCCAGGAGTGGCACCGTTCAATTACATAAGGATTAGATTTTTTTCATTGAAAGCACTAATTGTAAGGATGCAACAGTGGCAACATGCAAAGAAAGAGAGAGAGAGAGAGAGAGAGAGGTGGGTAGGTGGGTGGGTGATAATCAGTTGAGCAAGAAAAAGTCACCCAACAGGCTACTGACTTTTAGCTCCTTTCCTTCAACTACATTTGGCCAGAAATGTATAACTAAGGGGTTATTTTTCCCTCTCTATTCCCAACTCTTTTTCCTTTTTTCTTGTGATTTTCAGATTGCAAGCTTGAAGGCAGGACTGCTTTTTAACTATCTTTATAAGCTGCTGGGAAAACCTTACAAATCCTTCAAATGTCTATCAATCAAATCTTTACTTCAGTCATAGATCAGCATAAATCCTTCAAATAAAATGCATGCGCATTTTCAAAGAAGTTCCTACACGGCTTTATGACAATCTGCATTTTTGATACTACCAGGACAACATTAATGATTCCCATTTTGTTCTGATGATTAAAATAGCATAAACTATGCAGTAACTTGCTTCTGCGCCGATAAATTCTACTGCAAGTCAAGCTCAACTCCTGGTCCTTGTAATTTGTTTGGGAACAATACAGAAACTACCTTGTTTGGGGATGTTTTTAACTTTCTAATCTTGCTGCAGCCCTGGGATTTCTTATTCATTTATTTATTGTAGAAACGGTATGACGCTGCCCAACTCTATAACAATGCTGGACAACATACAGTAAAAACAATCATACCGTGCAATACAATTGAAACAACAGTTTCCCACCACCAGCACCAGAAGAAAACCAATCATTAAAAGACAACCCACTACAATCCATGCCTAGAGAAAGAGCTAGATTTTTCGAGCTCTTTTGAACATAGCCAGTGTTGGGCCAAATGTGTTCCTGACATCCTGACAGTGGCACACTGGACTGTAATCCTGTTTCAGTTTCCGTGCCTCTAGAAAAAGATCTTAGCAACTTTCTCCACTGGTATCCACAGGGTAAGCCATTCAGTTCCTCTCAGTCTGCTCATGACAGAGAAAGCTCTACTACCTTTTAAATCAGTGTTTTTCAAACTTGGCAATTTAAGATGGACGGACTTCAACTCCCAGAATTCAGGCTGGCTGGGGAATTCTGGGAGTTGAAGTCCATCCATCTTAAATTGCCAAGTTTGAAAAACACTGATTTAAATGAAGTGGATGTTTGTTTCCAAAATTCCCTGTAAATTAAGGGAAATAAATTTAACATACTGGAAGACATCAGGTTGGGGAAGATTAGCTTAGATTTAAATGAAATCAAGCTAATGGTTTGGCTTAGTCCTGCCCACCCTTTTGAAATGCAGTGGCTCTCAACCCTCCAAAGGCTGCATAACCCTGATGCACATTTTGCTTTTCCCATGTTTACAGAGGATCCTTAAATGTTTAAAAGGGTTTTTGTTTGTTTGTTTGTTTGAGGTTGAGGGACAAGATTCTTAACTGTCTAAAACCACAGAAAGATTCTTGGCAGCTGCATTAAGAAGGGTTTGTTTTGTGAAGCAGATGTTTCTAATACTTAAACTGACAACTGAAATCAGCAACTGGCAGACAAAGGGCCAGTAAGCTTGGGGAATGCAAGCTTATAAGTTATCAAGGCAAAAACAAGCAGAGTTACAGAAGTAATGGTGCCCATGGGACTGTTGAGCTGTCCAATTTGGGGAACAAGAAGAGGGTGGTCCACACCCACCCTTTCTTCAAAATGCCCTGGAAGGTTAAAAGATAATTTTCAGAGAATCACTGGTACCCAAAAGTGAGGAAACCACATTGGCAGAAAAATCAATAAAGCCTAAAAGAGTTATGAAAAATCTTACAGTAGGACAGATTTAATCAAATTTGGTCACTATATCAGTTACATTAAAAATATTTTTCCTCCTAGATTATCCTTAGCTATATAAATGTCATTAGGCTGACATACTGAATAGGGATGTTTCCAATGTTTCTATTTCTCTTCAGGACCACATCTTCATCTGAGCGTATGTATTCCCAATTGCAATAGATATTTTTCTTTTGTTTTTGCATAACTGTGTAGTTTTGTATATTTAAATTATAATTATCTTCCATATTCATCTTGCAAAACCAAAGTGTACTCTTTTAAAAAGTGCCCTGTACTGTTAACTAGGAGTCAGGGTCAGTGTATGCAACTTGGGAGCTCAATGCAACACCAGATTTGCAGGCCCCCTCATCTAGAGTAACACTGCAGAGGGAATCCTGAAAAATAATGAGGAGGAGGAGGAGGAGGCGGCGGCGGCGGAGGAGGAGGAGCTAAGATGGACATGGCCCATTTGAAAAGCCCATTAGCTCAAACTACCTGTCAGCTAATATGGTGCTGCATTAGCTTATGAAGTGACATCACTCCCACCATCCCCTCAGCCCAATGGATTCACTGGCTAACCTGGAGTTGAGCTAGCCTGTGGTTGGACCTACCTGCCTGAAAACCCCGCTGCCGAAGCCAAACACAACCTGCTCTCTCAAGGGCAATGCAACAGAAACAGGCAGTTGTAACCTCTTTGCCTTTAGACCTTCAGATTATTCTCACACAGCCAACTTCTACCTGCTGCTCTACTTAGGGGGTTTCACCTTTCTGAGGCCCAATGAAGCTCCATATGTTGCAACCCCCACTTAAACCAGCTGTTAGGGATCAATTAGTGATTCTGCAGTCCACCTCCCATTTTTCACCTGCCTATCACAGTAACTTTTTAAAATCAATATTAATACAGAGTTGCAATATATTCAGTTTTATAATAAATTCAGTTTTTATTTATAATAAATTCAGTTTTATATTGTAGCCTTAAGGAAATAAGTATACAAGCACTGTAGATAAAGAACTACCTCTTTGCAGAATGTGAGGTGATAGTCCTAAGAGTTACCAGTAGATGTCACTAGTTACAAAGTCACTTTTGAGTCAAGTGACTGAAGAAGCTTTAGATGTGAACGCTTAGGGTGGAATTAAAATTTTCACTTGTGCACTTGTAGCGATCTGTCCCTTGCTTTAGGGGATGTGCTCTACACGTGGTGCGGACACAACTGGCAGCCGTTTTTCAAACAGCTGCACTAGCCTAGAAAAACGCACAGCTGCCCCTGTGCATTCAACTCTTCCTAAAGATTTGCACAGCTCTCTTTTCAAGATAAGGAACTATCTGAAGGGAAACAGAGACTTTCAGCACAACAATACTATGCAGACAAATTAGCATTTCAAATATTTATGCAAATCCCTATGCATTCCTCCTCTTCCACCTTGTGCTCAAGTGGCCACCTTAAAGCCACTTCATGGAAAGTGTTTAAAAGGCATCACTTCGCCTCAACAATGTCTATGGAATCCAAACTGAATTGATTTCTCAATCTATACAAAATCATTCCAAACCCAGAGTTACTTCATAGGTTACAATTTTCCTACCTAGAGATCATCTATTTATTTATATTTCAAATTTAGGTACCGCCCATCTCACAAAAAAGTGACTCTGGTGTCAGGAATCAGAAAGGTGAAGGGGATGTTTTTATTCTTCAAAGATGCTAAAGATACCAAAAAGAATTATATAGTTCATTTTTTTAAATAGCCCAGAACTTCTAAGATCTAATGCAGTAACAAAGAGATCGTGCAATATTCATAGAACTCATGGGATTTTGGCTAATTTTTAATACAAAAACTAGAATTTTGGAGATTCTTGAATGCCATCTAGTGGTGCTGCATAGGCTATTGTGCTAGCAAGCTCTATGCTGCTGATCCTCAAGCTATATGAAAGAAAATACACATTATTATTTGCTCTGGCAGCAGGTTTACATCCCATATAAACCAATTGGGCAACCAAAATATGTGAAAATGGTTAACATCCAATCCAAAGAACATTTATGCATATAAATTTAGAAAAACTGCTTTATATGAATCCATGCTCAACATGAATATTTTTCTCCTTGATAATGATTTGCCTGAATAACAGGATTATTTACAATGGTTGCTTGTAACAACATGCCATTATTTATTCCTCTGATTACTGTATATTTATCCAATTTTTGGACAATCACTGCCTTCTAAAACAGATCACATCAGTCAAAAAAAGAGAGAGAAAGACCCTGTCTTCAGAGATAAAAATTAGGAAATCAGTTCTTCCAAGACAGAATAAAGGGACAACCCATAAGCCAGTATTTATATTGGTTTCAGCCCACATAATCTTCACTTGCTCTGTTGTGAAAATTATGACGGTCCCCTCGTAGATGGATATGGTCAGATTGTTGCCTTTCAACTCTCCAGTCACCAGGTAATTTTTAATAGGAACTGAGTAATGTAACTGGAAAAGAAGAGAAAGCAGGATTTCTGTAGCTGCTTCTGACCATGACATTCTTGCAGGGAGGCAGGGAATGAAGATGCCCAGTGACCCTTGGTCTCCTTCTGACTGAGAAAGGCAGAATACACTGTGCATCACAACCATTTCAGTTTCTAACCCGTAGCCCTACATACCCAAAGATCATTCCAACTGTATCTCGCTGCATCTACATTCTGACTTCAACAGCTTGGGATAAATCTCAAATTGTCAGTCATTTGTGACAGACTAGCCACACATGGGCTTGGATTCCAAGTTGTTCTTCTGTTTATGAAAATGGGAGGGGGACAAATCTGGCAATTTCCTCTCTACCTTCATTCCTATCTCTAGCACCACCACCCATTCACATCCCCCAGCATCTCCAGGCAATCCCCAACCCACAAGAACATAGCAACGCGTGTGTTATGCACAGGGAGCTCAAAAGGAAAAGAACTTGGAAACCCCATGGTGTCAGCACAAACCGTTCACAGAAGGAAGCTTCAAACTCCAGCCGTGTGTTTCCCAGAACAAGCTTTGTTCGTCAGGCCATGAACCGAATGGCTTAAGACAAAGCATACTCTCTCCCTGCCATTAAATACTAGTCTACGTTATTCGTGCTGGAGCTGAGAAGCTGCTGTGGTGAAAGCAAACGGTGCTAAACAAAACGTACTCAGCAAAACGCAGGAGGCAAGAAGTGAATTCAGCAGTTTACATTGCAGCAACTGCAGAAGGCTGAGATTCAACCATTCCAACCCCATTCAGTTCTGTTAATGAGGTTTATTACTTAATGAGAAGCCCTAAAAAGAACAGCATGTCTTCTATTTACACGTAATAGGACATCAGTGTCAATTGCAAAGCCGGCTAACTGTTGTTGCTGGGTCTATTGGTTTGATAAGAAGTTCACATGGAGTACATGGAATCTTAGCTCAGAGTATTACTAGCCCATATGTATCTTTTCTCTATTCTTTGTGACTCAAATCTTAAATTTCAAGCAGTCACGGGAAGGGCAAGTGCCATAAAGGTATCAGATTGCTGGCTTCCATTTATAGTCTAAGAACGGATGTAGGCAGCCTGACCCAATTTTCACTTTTCGAAAGCTAAACACCGCTGAGTTTCAATTGGAACTTTTTTCCTAAGCAGCCTGTAAGAAAAGCACCAATGAACACACGTGAAATGCATCTAAAAACCATGCTTTTTTCCCTAGCATTTATTCCACATTTTGCTTATAGACAGATGTACCTGTCAGTCATTTGAAAACTGATCTTAAATAACCCGCCTCCCATCCAAAACATGAGGCATTAAAAAAAATAATTAAGTACTGCATTTAAAATCCTTCAGTGCATTTTTTTTTAAAAGGGGAATTACACTGCTATAACAATGTTGAGTTACTAGAATGGAGGGAAGGAAGGAAAGAAACAGGGAGGGTCTTGCTGGCATTGGACTAACTGATTAGGCCAGCCCATCAGGATTATTCATTTATTTTATTCATTTATTACTCCAATTTATATCCCAGCACAATCACAGGATTCTGGTGGCTCACAAAATAAGCACTCACAATAACAATATAAAAACATAAGACAATTCAAACCCAGACACAACAGAGGGTATTTGTCCCCAAAAGCCCTCTGGAAAAGCTCTGTCTTTAGCTTTTCTCTAGAAGGCAGATAGTGTTGGAGTCAAATGAACCCCCAATGGGTGGCCATTCCAGAGGGCCATCCCCAAATAATGCTTCCAGGCTTTGGCCTCCCTCCCTCCCTCCCACATAACAGCTCTGTACAAAATTCGCCATGCTGTTTGCTCTCCTAACCTATCAAAGAATTAGTATATGTTCACAATCTGGGGGTTAACTATAGATTGTTAACAGTTGGTTTTATGTCTGTCACTGTACACCAAATGCTTACTATTTCACACATTCCTAATTTCTTTCCTAGAAATCCAAAGTGCTTCAAATTTAAACAGTTAATGGTTAAATAATTACCAATCTTTCAATCTATTAAAAGTGCCTAGACAGTTGCTTGTATTTAAAATCTGATATTGTTTAAATTATCTACAAATCTATCCATCAGAAGAGGACTTTTTGTTCTCTCCAGCTAAAAAGAGCTTCTTCTAGGGTGAAAGGTTTTTTTCCCTTTCAAATTACTGATAGAACTGTAAGCATATTTATGCAAATTTACTGTATTAACAATCATACAATTCACTGACAGATTTCTTTAAGCAGATGACAGCTTTAAAATGAACTCTTTATAGTATGGCTTGAAGCCATATAAGCAATAACTTTGAAGTATGTATTAGTTATCAAGAAATACCCCATATATTAAAAGTTACTTACCAGACGGATGAGGCGAGAAGGACACCTGTGGTGTTGGCAAGAAATGCAACGGGAGGTTCTGCTAGCATCAGCGAAGATAATATGGACCCACCAAAACAGTAAAGCATAGCACTAAACCAACATGCAAGTGGGCTGCTATGTGCTACTTCAACTACTCCTAAAAACAAGAGAAGAGACAAACAGCTGTTTACAAGGAATTTTGCTTTTAATTTCCTGCAAAAGGAGAAAAACAACAAATGACTCTTTAAATTCCTTGATCGGGCTCACTGCACTAAACCACATATTTAATCATGGCTTGTTTCTTAAGCCATAATGATCCTGGTACACAGACAGAAATTCTATCCCACTTTGTTCTTGATTAAAAATAAACTTCTACAGTATTTGCTGTGGAAATTATTAATAGTACAGCACCGAGGAAAAAGCCTGAAAAACATTTGACTATTCTGAAGGCAGCAAATTGGGCGGGGGGGGGGGGGAATAGGAAACTTGTCAGCAGAAAGTATCCATGAACTTCTCGAGCATCCTGAGTCACAAACAACTTGGTATGGAGATCTTGGGTAGGAATACACGTTGTTTGGTAGCTCACTTTCAAGAACTGTAATACTGTTTTACTGTTTGAAGGTGTTACCTGATTTGTGTGCAAGTAACTAGAAAACTTGAATTTTAGAATCTGAAATTATGCTGTTCTTCATAAAGACAGAGCAGATTGGTGTGGGGGGGGTAGTTCTCTTTAAGTTTAAATGATTTAGAATTGAATGAACCTGAAATTTCAGATGGAATTCCTTTGAACAAATCGTATGATCTGTTACTGTCTCTAATGCTTATAATACATCTTTCCCACTTGATAGATAGTTGAATCATCCATTGATAAATACAAAGGGATTTTGGATGTGGGAATTTCAATCATCATAGCTCTTAATGGGGGAGTTGTAATTCAGATAGGAATGGGAATTGTTGGAAAATTTAGTGAAAAGTTTGAGTTGATTCTTAAGGATGGACTCCCACTCAGTTTGATTTGTTTATGTATAAATTTTCTTCTTTAGATTAAACTGTTTCCAGATGTATTGTGTCTCATTGTGGCTGGGAAGTTCTCCAAGTCAATAACATTTATTTCTTATGGACAGGTGGGATTTACTGATTAGGCAGAGCAAGTTATTATGTGGATTTGATAAACACAAATGGCTTTCTTCAAACAATGCTATGTAAATTCTGTTGGACTTATGGTGAGAAGAATGATTCAGAGGAATTTCAAAACATGTAATGTGTGATATAGTCACTGCAACTGATCAGGCTACGCCTAACAGAATCCAATTAAGAAAAATCAGATGTTGGCTTCATGATGAGCTGCTGAATATGCTAAATCTACATGAGTAGATTAAAGATGTCAGGACATCTAGTTACTGATGTTACCATGCAAGAAAAGACAGAACTACAATGGGTACATGGAACATAAGAAACATGAATTAGGAAAGCTCAATACACTGAAAAAAGACATCTTAGACATCAGCAAATTTGGACTGGAACTGGACACTTTCAGTTAGAAGATTATGCTGTTTACTACTTTAGACCCCAAAAAACAAAGAAGGAACAATGTTGCTTTCATAGTCAGGAGGGATCCAGCAAGGGCAGTACTTTGGTACCATGCAATCAGTGATCATAATATCAATTAGACTTAATGACAAGCTTTGATATGACAATTATCTACTTTTATTTATTTATTTATTTATTTATTTATTTATTAAATTTGTACACTGCCCATCCCCCCTGGTTTATGCAGAAGATCAGGTTGACAGCTTTTATGGTAAAGTTCAATCTGAAATTGACAGAATATTCAAGCAAGATGTGCTGCTTGCGGTTGGAGAGTGGAATCCCAATGTTGGAAATAATATGGAGGAAAATATAGTTGGATTGTATGGCCTAGGAACCCAAAATGAAGCAGGAGAATGACTTACCAATTTGTGCCAATCCAATTATTTTTTTTCTTTCCTAATCATCCTTCAACAACCAAAATGACACCTGTATTCATGGACCTTACCAGATAAGAATACACAAAAATCACAATGACTGTATTATTCCTATATAAGGAAGTGAAAGAGATAACAGCAAAGATGTGGCCAAGAGCCAACTGTTCATGCTCAAGTCCCAAATCAAGCTAAAGTGGAAGAAGAAAGCCAACTATTTTCCATGACATGATCTTGAGCATACAGCCACAATTTTCAAGGAGGTAAGGAATCACTTTGAAGTCCTGAACCCTATTGATAGGAAACCAGAGGAACTTTGGAATGAAATTAAAGATGTTGTTAAGGATGAATGTGAAAAACAGTTGCCAAAGACCAAGAAACAGAAGACAGCCAACTGGATGTCAGAACAAACAATGGAAATTGGTGAGGAGAGGAGAGGAGAGGAGAGGAGAGGAGAGGAGAGGAGAGGAGAGGAGAGGAGAGGAGAGGAGAGGAGAGGAGAGGAGAGGAGAGGAGAGGAAACGAAACCAAGAAGACAAGACTACAGGAACAAACT